TCTGAAATATTTTGTACTTCATAGGAGACTTTTGTTGTGGTAGCTTGACAAAATGCAGAGGCAGGAAGATTTCTGCATGGTAGAGTACGTGTGGATAGCTCAGAGAAATCCATGTAATCGAAATTTGTTTGAAGAGAACAGCAGAACCTGAAGCAGATGAGACTATAATACGTATTTCTGCAGAGAAAATAGCATAAAAAGTTGTAAGTCAGTTTGAAATTCAAGGATTAAACTGTAAAGCAAAAGAGGAAAGTTTGTTTTTTTCTGTTCTTTTCTTCCATCCTTGTTCCACCTGTTCTTCCTCTCTTCCTTTCATTCCTCCCTTCATAAAGCCTGGGAGCAGAAAGGAACAAACTGGAGGAGGATTATTCTCCTGGGGTCTTAACTGCCTCCCCGTCAGGTGACTGACGGATGAACGGAAGAACTCTGCCGACTTTCAGCTCGGCTTAGACGAATCGCAGGAAAACGGGACGTTCTTGTCCCGTTTATTGTGGATTATCTCTCTGTGGAAGCTCTTTGTCAAACTGGAAGCTTGAAGGAGCACAAACACGTCCGGCTGCAGGAAGACAACGTGAGGATTATCCTTTAACCCTCTCAGCCTCCGTTTCACCATTGATGTGTTCCTGGAGGTGCGGCAGAGGCCCGTTTCGTGGCAGCATCATATCTTCCAGGAGGATTTATCCCACAGAGCAGATCATTTCAGGCCAGATATAATGTGAGGAATTGAATTAAGGTCTATTTCATGGCTGATTTAAGGCGGGATCAATTCTGCCTAACCAACCGCAGTTATGGACATCATTTAGTGAGTGGGAGACATTTCTGGAAAATTAGGCTTATGATCCAAAGAAAAGACTCCAGGATGTTTATGTTCAGCAGGTCAGCTTCCTGAATAACTTCTGCCAACATATTCAGGAGAGGATTTAAACTGCTGTTTAGGTCTATTTTCCTTACAGCACTCATATTCCTGCTGGTTTAAAATAGTCCAGAACATTACTGGGGTTCTGTTAATGGTTCCGCTGTGTCTAAAACTGGTGTCTGCAACCTTCACAGCTCAAAGAGCCGTTCTTTATTCAGTCAAACTAAATAAAACTTTTATACAGCCACAGATGTTTTGAGTTTCTGGTTCAGATAACATAACTTATTATACCTTGCTGCAGACAATTTGTCTTTATTAAAAAAAAAAAATAAAAAAGACATTGTTATTTACATGCTTTTTAGGTTTAAAAAAAACAGAAATTATTTTTTTCAAATTACAAGATGGATACATTGTTTTTTGGGGTTATTTATTGTATTTTTGAAAGCAAAAGTTATTGTTTCCAATATAATGATCAGAGAAATAGATCTACAAAACACAGATTGATGGTCACACGATGTTCTACCTTGATTTCTTCATTTTGGAAGAACATGACCGGCTGTTGCTTCGATATGAAACCGATCTTATCTGCTGTTCTTATCTACCTCTTCAATTTTTCTGATATGACAGATAATATCCTGTGTAATTACTGTACAACAAGTATTGATTGTTTCATGGGTATTTTTCTTTTTCTTCATAAAAAAAAGGAAAAGAAAACTGCAGCAGAAATCAGAACCATTTGTTTTAAGTCAGAATAAAAACAAAAAAACCTTCAGAAAAAGCTCCAAGTTTTTTGACCTGACAAAGCAGACCAAGAAGAAGATCACGTCCTTCGAGCTTTGGTGCTCAAAATCAGTTGGATGGAGATGTTACGTAGGAGCTACAAAGCATGGGGACAGAAAGATTGACTCTGCTGGACAAGATCATCAAAAGGAAGTTCCTGTACTTTGGTCTTGTCCGATGGAACTCATCTGGTCTGGACTTGAAAATTATCTTGGTTCAAGCGCATGCCAAACAGGGAAGAGGCCGACGACACACAACATGGATAGAAGTGATCGCAGGGGAGAAGGACATGAAGAGGAACGTGGCGATGGCCAAGAACAAGGAAGAATGGTGCAATGCATTGGAGACCCATGATCAAAACCAGTCAGGGTGAAGAGTAAGAGTAAATCTTTCTGCAGAAGGTCCAAAGAGCGACAGGTTGTTGACGCCTGGTTGGAAAGGTACCGTTTCAAGACGGTGGGATTTCCTGCAAAATAGCCAATCACAGGTGTTTACCATCTCCATGCTGAGCACGCAGAAACTGGTAGGGGAGAATCTGCGGGAGCACTAAAAGCAAGAGAGCAGAAAAGCTGCATGGACTCATGCTTGTGATGTAATGGGGTCAAATATTGAATCTACATGCAAAGAACATTTAAAATGTGCGTAAAGAGTAGAAACATTCATCCTTTTTACATAAAGCTGCTTGTATGAGTATTTATTACATGTGTGCCCCTTTGGTGGAATTCTGACTTCATCATAGGAAAGAAGATCTGGACTAAAACTCTGTCCGTCCGTCTGTGCTAATGATGAACACATTAAAAGAAGGAAATTAATCCACCCCAGAAGTTCTTGTTTTAAAGGATTTTTTCCTAAAATCTTTTTGTTATAAGTGATATATTCCATTTCCCAACAAAAGCTTGCTGCTTTGTTTTCACTGACATATAGCTGTTTGTTTAGCGGGTGGAAAGAATAACTTTAGTCATTTTATAATACTTTTAATTTCAGGGTTTAAGGCTGTTTGGCGAGAAAATAGCCTTGAGGCGACGTCTCATCACAGTAATGAGAGGCCTCAGTGGGTGAAAAATGTGTTTGTCCTGATGGGCTCGCAGTGTCTGAATGTTTTTCCCTAATGGACATGAACATTTGTTGTATCCTCACTTTTTTATGATAATGAAATCATCTCATACGTCTGACTCTCTTTGGACTGTTACAATGAAATGGTGTAAAGTTCGTCATCACTGCTGAAGATTGTTCTGATCCTACCTCCATGTCTGGATCACATATTGATGCCAGACACCAAAGAACATTTATTTTCTTGCAGAAAATGTAAAATGTTCTTAGCATAAATAATTCAGAGTTTGTACCAAACACGGATTTGGTCGTCTGAGAATATTATGAGAAGTTTCCGACAGTTGTTTTGCAGAGAAATATGGATCCTTGGTTCTGTTTGCTCAGATTTCATTTAAAATGTGTTGCTGCTACATCAACATTTTCCGAGGGGTAACAGAAATTCCAATAGATGTTGATGTGTTGCAGAATATCAGTGGTGCTATTTATAGTTCAGCAACTTATTGGGTGAAACGTTCCCTGGTCTGAATCATACCCGTCCGTCTTTCACTGGGGCATTCAGGCACAATGTCTTGGAAAATAATGACATTGTGGATTATTAAAGAGCAATCTCTGGAGAATCTGTGGACAGAGAAAAGCTGAACATAGATGAAGGAGTTTGGTTCACCAGATTAGAAGCAGTTCTGGAGGAAAAGGTTGTCCTTGTATTGTCTTCCTTCACCTGGCAGAAACCTTTTCCTTTGTGTAGATGATTGGCGTCTGGATCCAGCCAGTGTCAGACATATTGACACCGACCTCAGTCTCTGAAGAAGAGAGGGGTCAGAGAGGGAGATTAAATGAATGCTTAAGAGAAAAGTGAAAGCAGAAAAACATATTACAAAAAGAAGAAAAATACAAAAGCTGAAAAACCTAACATTCATCTAATTTACAGTAAAAAGTCCAACTTTGATGACATAAGAGCAGCAGCTGAAAATAAAATTTCATACAAAGTCCACTGGTGAGTTGTTCTGTTTTCAGAACATGCTGAGGTGACCCCACCAGTCTTTGAGGGCCCCTTGGTGCCTTGGGCATCATGTTGTTGATCCCGGCTCTAGATGTTAGCTTTGAGGTAACAACACCCCTGAAGCACCAATCACTGGCTGTTGACATTCTGTCCACATTTCATGAGACTATCCAGGTTCAGTAGAGTTTCTGTCCTGACTTTACCATCAATCATTTCCCCAACTAATGCCACTGGATTCTCAGAGTGTTTTATTCCATTTCCTGGTGCCTGCTAGTACGCATCCATCCTATCATCCATTTATCCATGCACCCAGCCAGCCAACCAGTTTTTCATTTTGCCAAAGATCCTAACATTTAAAGGGCTGGTTATACTCCGGCAGCAGTGAGCTCGTTGCAAGTATCACGCAGATATTTTTGAGTTATGCCCAATTTTTGAAGCGTAGTCTATATGTTTTTCCATGCCACTATGCATCATGTGGGTCTGGATACGGCCGAGGCAGTGAGGAAGTGAAAAAACGCAAGGGGCTAATAGGGTCCAAGTGTTCTTGCGCACCTCGCATAGTGTAGTGCAGATGTAGATTTGACCAATCAGAGGCCTTGTATCTGCGGCACTGTCTGCGGTCAACTACAATTTTGGAGAGGTGCACTAGAATTCCTGCAGAAGGCACGGAGACATATCTGCGTTAAATTCGACACACACGCAGACAACCTGGTTTCTGAGCATAAACCAGCCTTTAGTCAACCCATATGCAATTGTTCACCTCCGGAGGCGGAAATAATCCTAAGCACTATAAACTGTCAGGGGTAAGTTGGGTTAATGGAACAAGCATGACGTAATCTCACCATTGATGCAAAGCAAGGATTGATCTAAGAATGACGGTGCCCAACAGAGATGCCAATAAGATGCTAAGGATGGTGCGAAAACAACTTAGCTTGTACTTTGTGTTCAGTGGGCTGAAAAAGCTTGCTTCAGACCTACTGGACACAACAAAGAGTTTATACCTCTTAAGATTTGCTTTGGTAAATGCTTTGATTTTGAAGCCACACCCTTTTGGTTCCATAATTGAATCTGCTCCACTGAAAGCACACAGAACCTCTCTGACTTAATGTTTGAAAGCAGCTCCTTTTCTTCAGTTAGAGTTGAGTTACAGTTAGAGGTGAAAACATTTCTCCCCCATAAACACTTTGACTTAAAAAATGTATTTCCATTTCCTTGAATGGAAAGCCTGTTAGTCATTGTTTCATGTATTCATTTGTGTCGCAGGTACATCTTCATCCAAATGTTTAAAACCTTCCTGTTTGTATTCGTGTCCAGGTTCCTAGCGGTGACTCAGTTCAGTCCAATCCACGCTCGGAAGGCTTTCCCCTGCTTTGATGAGCCCATCTACAAGGCCACCTTCTCCCTGAGCCTCCGCCACGACCCGCAGTATACCTCCCTGTCCAACATGCCCGTGGAGAGCAGCTCTCCGGCGGACGAGGACGGCTGGGTGACCAACCGCTTTGCCCGCACCCCTCGCATGTCCACCTACTACCTGGCCTGGGCTGTGTGTAACTTCACCTATAAGGAGACGCAGACCAATGGCGGCGTGACGGTGAGTGTCTGACCTTTCAACCAGAATCTGAGCAGAAACGCAACCACTAGCTCTCGTTGTTGACTCTCTGTCAGCCTTTTATCTTCTCTTCTTTATTCTGGGAGGCTGTTTGTTTGGAGTTGGAAAGGAAAAAAAGCTCTCTGATGAACCCCGTGTGAACACTTTACAGCTCCAGCCTGTTTTCCTAACATCATTTCTCTCTGCGTCTCGCATCCATCAGAACTCATCTCTGGGGTTAAAACACGAGATATGAGGTGCAGTCATTACCATCAGACAATAATTGACATAATTAAGCTCTGATTGGGGGAATAATGGCTTTATATCAGCAGCCAGCAGAGGAAACTAAGCAAGGACGAATGAGTGACGGGTAGGATTTGTTGTTATTATACCTTTAATTTATTTTTCAAGTGTGTGGATTAAGACTGTGCGTCTTTACAGATTTAAACTTGACATTATGTCTGTGCTTTAATTTAAATAAATATCACTTCTGGGTCTTTCCAGAGGAAATCATTTCAAGTGCTTTCAGAAGTGTTTCTTTTCACCCCAGAAAAAAGAAATAAATAAATCACCCTATTTGTCTTCAAATAAATTGAATAATGGTTTTAGTTTAATTGAATGGGATTAACTAAACGTAAAAAAATGCTAATGTCAGCTGTAAAAAACAAAACAAAAGTAGTCTTAAATGCAAAAGTCACTAAATAGAAAAATAAGCCTCCTGCTTTCATTGTCCCGTTTGAGATAGTATGTGCTGCCTGCAGACCAAATATGTTCTTTAAATGAAAATTATGTACATATTTATATAGACTTTCAGTTAATTTGATTGAAACTTTATGCAAAATCAAGTCCAAAAAACGACAAGCTTCTAATGGGGGGGGGGGGACTCATTGGTAATTTATTATTTTCTATTTGGATCAGAGGTGATGTCACAAAGTGTGCAAGAGAGTACTGAAATGAACCAAACTAACAAAGAATAAATATTTTAACCTAGCCTTAGCATCTAGTTTTAGCATGTAGCAGTTTGTGTTATCATTATTAAAAGTTCAGTGTGTGTTTATTACTCATGAATGCAGAGATTGATGTAACCTCTGATGTCTCCAAAAGGCTTTTTTTGATATTTGAAATTCGGCACGTTCATGACAGATTGAACTTTCTAGCCTTAATGTTACCTGCTCAAGTCTTGCTCTCTCTCGCCGTCTCACAGCCAGGATAAACTGCATCCTTCCCTCTGCCAACGGTAGAAAAATCTCCCTGGTACTGGCTGACTCTGGGTCATCTTCTCTTACTGTATACCAGTGTGTGTAGCAAAAGCGTTGTTGTCAAGGAAACCCATTAGCACTCATAATGGGCACCTTTTAATTTTCGGGAATGGCAGTCACTAATGAGGGCACAAGAGTAGGACATTTCTGGCCACAATTTATATAGTTGTTTGTAAGATTACTTTACCTAGAAAGGTTTGAGTAGTGTGAATTCTGTCTTGAGGTATTGCAGGTTGTTTTGTTGTTAAGGATGAATGAATGGTTTTGATATTGTGCTAAAGGCTCCAATATGCACACAGTGACAGGATAATGCCGTTAAATCTCTCTGGATATCAGATCATGTTTTGTTAAAGGGTTCAGCCTGTTCATGAAGCTCACAGAACTTTAAGATCCCTGAGTTTGCTGCCTCGCTGTCAGAAAATCACTGCAGTCACTCTTAAAGCAGCAGTTTATAAACTCTGTCATCCTCAGCAGATGATCGTGATAGTGCAACCATCAGGATAAAAATGAGACTTTAAAACAACGGCTTTATCTGAAATGGTGGCATTTTATCTCCACTCTGTAGAAAATGTGTGTTGTCAAACCTGGAGCTATCAGTGGATTGTCTCCAGATGATACAATTCAATCAGCAGCTTTTCGTTATCTCTGGGTGAAGACAGTAATTAGGATGTGAACCGATGATAACCACCTGAGCATCTTCTGATAAGAAGCAATGAACTTCCTTCCTTATTAGTCCTTGGGGCTTCATTGGACTCTGTTCCTTCTTCTGTGACGTTGGAAAAATGTTTTTTAACAGTGGATGGACTCTCAGTTCTACTGTTGTTTTTGAAGGTGCTTTTAACCCGAGTGAAATGACTAAGACTGATCAGGCAACAAATATTTCTTTGAGAATTGTGAAAAACATGTAGCACTTTCTTTTTATTCTCTACTTTGTGTTGATCTGTTGCATAAATCATGAGAAAGTTGAAGTTCTAAGTAAAAAACTTTGACCTTAAAGGAATCGATGACTAGCCTACATATGCTTCTTTTTCTTATTAACCTAAAAATGTATGTTTTCGATTTGTAAAAATGCACAATTAATCCGAAAATCATACAGTATATCCTTAACCTTTTCATAACATGAGGACCCAAATTTGGGTCCTCAGTACTCGCCCCAAGATGGTTTTTAGACCTGTAACATATTCTCTGGGGTCTTGCCTTTATTTTGATACCAAAGCAATTAAAATAAACTCTGTAGTTCTTGAGATATATTCTATTCATTTTGGGCATGTTATTTTTAAGCATATTTCTCGAAAACAGGCCTTGTGTCCAATATCCATATATCCACATATCCTTTGAAATATTTTTACTGCATGGAAGTCGCAATTTCTTCACCTATTAAATGCATGATGAGTTGACGTAATGGTTACGTCTTCCTTAACTGAAACCTACAGAGTAAACACAGGAGGGCTAAAATTAGCACAGTTGTTCATCTTATTTCATTTGACTGGTCTAAATTTACACCACTGCGTCATTGCCTAAAGGTTTCATGACCTGTTATTTAAGAGATATATGTAGAATCAAACAAATATAATAAGCTTGCGATCTACTGTTTACTGTATTTGCTAGAGCTAATACTATTAGCAAGCACTAGCCTGAAATCAAAAGTCAATTGGAAGTTGAACAACAGTTTAAAGAGACAGTGACACATCATTCTAACTGATATGAGAAAATGTTTTGATCCCTATGCTAACCCCTAACAGCCTCAGTTAGAAACTGAAGCTTAGATTTATTTACTGTATTATACTTGCAATGAAAATTAATATTTCTCAGATAAGGCTTTTGTTACAGCTAAACATGGACAACTTTAAGAACTATCATATAAAAATATAAGAAAAGCTATAAATATATCTATTATTCTCAGCCTTCCTACCCTCAGTGGTTGGTAAAACTTAAAGAGCAGAGGTGTTATGGTTTTCCCCTTTTGGACTTTGAGTTATCTAAGTAATTCAGTTTTGCTTGTCTTTGATTTATTTTCTATTTTGTGTTATATTTAGGAAAGTTTTGAGTTACTCTCTGTTGCCCCCTTGTAACCGTCTCCTTCTCCCTGGCTCCCTTCTAGTCACTTCCATCCACACCTGCTCCATATCAGCTGGTTACCCAAGTCTTTGTTCTGTCTCCCATATATACTCTCCCTGTGCAGTTCTTCAGTGCTGCTTCATTGTTGTTTCTTTGCTCCTATGTGTGTTTTCCATGAAGACTCCTTAACTTTTGGTTTTCAGTATTTTAGTTTTGGACTTTGCTTCCGTTGCCTTTGGGATTTTGATTAAACCTACAACTCATCTCTGAACTAATCTCTGCCTCCCTCATCTCTGCATTCGGGTCCTCAAACCACCTCCACCCTCACGTTGGCAAGAGTTTATTTCACACTGTGTGAGTGACAGATGATTGTAATCCAGATATCCACATCCACACAGATTTCTACTTTCTATGCTCTTTTATACTCTTAGGGACCCTTATGGATCTTCAGGCCAGAAGGAATGAATATTCCCCACTTGAGTTTAACTCAAGTTTTTATCTTAGTGTATTGTTTCCAGAAATCCTCTAAAAAGGCATCCTTGTCATATACCTGGGCCACTTTAAGTGACTCCTTTTGAAGCAGAGGAGCAGCAGATTTCATCTATCATAGCTTCTTACATTACCTGTGCATGGCTGAATAATCACGGCAGTAGCCACCCTATAGCTAATTCTCGTTGCTGCCAGCTCTGATTTCATTCTTTCAGTCTTGTTCCACAACCTACAACCACAAATGAAGGTTGGAGTAAAGACTGACCTTTAAATCTGACGACGGAGCAGAATAAGATCTTTGTTGCTTCATCCTGGCATCACCGGTGAACCAGACACCAGAATACTCTACCCGAGGCTTAAACAGAGCTCTGACATGCTCCAGAATAATTCTAAATCCAAATGAAAGCAGCACGGCTGACTTAGACTTTAACCCAGTGGTTGATTCACCATTTATTGCAGGAATAACTGATAATAAAACTCAACAGATTTAATGCTTTGCATTTAGACGTTTATAAAGTGATGGAATATTGAAATATTGTAAAAAGCTTTAAATCAATAATCTCCAGATTGCTTTGCAGAGTAAAAGTTTAACACTTTGCACAGTCTAAGGCTCTATAAAAGCATCATTCAGGAAATTCCTTTGTTCTTTAATTGTTTTAAGGCACTACTAGAATGTTTTTTTTAAAACTTGCACACCAAATCTAGACCCAAGAACCAAACCAGTGATCTAAAGTTTGGTGTCAACCAATCCAATCCCATCACCAAGATGTTTTTCTTCTCCTCTCCCACTTTGTGATTCTGATTTGAAAGTCAAATTGGACCGGCGCTGCTGGTTTCACCTGATTTTCTCATCATTCCTTTCTAACAGTACACTTCAAATATGCACGTCCATGCATCCGACTTCTCACAGAAGGACACAACACACGCACGACCTTGTTCCCCCTTCCCTCCTCCCATCATCTCTCTATCGGTGTAATTACAGCTCATCCATCTCGTCTGCCAGAGACTCAAGGACACACGCACAGCCTTTGTCTCCTCGTTACAGAATTATAATTTAGGAGGAATGTGGTTTTAATGACAAATCATATCTGGGTCGTTAATAACCATCAGCAGCCTCCAGCGCTTTGAGGCAGAGTTTGTGTTGGGATATTGGGATGGAACCGCGAAGACATTAATCTTTATTTTTGTACTTTTACT